CATGTTCTGAGCTCCACCCTCCACTGCTGAGGTTCCCGAATGTTCAGGTGGGCTCAGGTGCTAAGGCAGTGACCTGCGCCGGGTGGCAGCCCCGCCCTGCCCTGAGGCATTTGCACCAGCAGCCCTGCTTGCAAAGACCACGCTCCAAAGTCTCTGCCTTAAAATGCTGGCCTGCAGGGACCTGCCCGCCCTGCCCGCCCCTGGGAGGACGTCTTGAAGAACTCTTGGAAGGAAGGCATGAGACTCCAGGAGGGGGAGATCTCTGCCGTGCATCCTTCTGGGGTGGCGGGCTGGAAGCGGGCAGGAAGGATCTCAAAAGGAGGCCTCCGGGACTCACCCTCCACTGGGGAGGACCTGGCCTTCCCCCGCTGTTGGTTGGCCACTTAGGAAATTCGAATGTTAGCCTGAGCTGAACACAGCGGGAAGATTAAGTGGCTGTCCCACAGAAGTCACGTCCCGCAATTCAGATTTAGCTGATGCTCTCGGGGCCTCCCCCAGGTGTCTGGTCCTGCGGCAGGGCTCTGCTGGCCAGTGCACCCCAGACACCTAGAGCCTGGGCCTGGTGGGTGCCCAGTGCTTATTCATCGAGTGGGCTCACAAACACCACTGCTGTCACCCCTGCTAGCAAACACAAGAACACCAGCCCTGCCTGGCAGAGCGGCTCCCAGAGGGAAGCGGCGTCCACGACGGCAGCAGCCATGCATCACTGGACTCTCTCCAGCAGGGCGGGCGGGGCGCTGGTGGGAGCACAGAGATGAGAGTCACTTTGCCTGGCCGGGTCGGGTGTCACCTGCGGTCACCCCCGTCTGAGACTCGGGGATTGAAGGAGTCTCGGATTTGCCCGGGATGCAGACTCCCTGGCCTTCAGAGATTTGGGCCACAGCCTCCCACGTGCATGCCTTGGGATTGGGAGGGCAGGACCACCTTGCTTTCAGCTGGAAGTCAGAGCCATGAGATCCCCTGGCTCAGCTGTCACTGGGGAACTTGAACCCACGTGTCCTGCCTGCGGACAGTCAGCCCCCAGGCCGGCTGCCTCCCCTTCCGAAAGTGATGCGCACAGAACGGGGGAGGCGGAGGACAGATCAGGGATGCTCACAGGGGCCTCTCTGGACTGGCATCTTCTGGAAACTGACCCTCCTGTTCTGCTGGCCCAGTGAACTGTCACACGCCACATGAAGGCTCTGGCCTGGCCCCTGCTCCGGGCTTAGGAATTTGACATCTATCCCTCTGTCCTGATTCCATCCATGGGAGCATGTGCGGTGACGTCCAGGACCCAGCCCCGGGCCCTGTGTGAGGTCCTCTGTGTGAGGACCGTATCCATGCCACGAGCATAGTGCATGCCGGCAGGAAGAGGAGTGCCTCAGACCCTGGGGGCAGCTTTTCTGCTAACTCCCTGGCCCCCTCTGTGAAATGCAGCTCGTGAGACCTGCCTCGGCCGAGTTTGCAGGGGCCCGAGGGCAGGCCCTGCTGGCACGGCACGGCGCAAATGCCCTGTTCACCTCCTGTGTGTCCCTGTGCCAGGCAGAGGAGGCTCGACAGATGCTGGCGATTTGGGTAAAGATCGGTGCCGGGGGTGTGGCTGTGAGGGTGGCCGTCTGCTCCCCTCTCAGGGCAGGGGAGCCTTGTCAGGCAGGACAGCAGATCACCCTCCTGACTGTTTGGTCCTCGGGGCCCACGGTTCTGCCGTGCGCCCCTCCTCCGCCCTGTCTGGGAGCCAGCTTTGCCCAGAGGTGGTGGAGAAATGGCTGGATGCCCAGCCTTTGCCGCCAGCCTCCCTTCACTCTGCAGCCTGGCCCGTGGACCAGGGGCCTGCGGCGCCCTCCCTCTGGGGGCGAGGAGTCTGAGAGGCAATTAGCCTAATTGTTGTGGAGTGGCTGTGCGCAGGGGGGAGCTCAGAGAGGGGCTGGGGGGGGCTCTGTCTTTCGCCACTTCCTCTCTTCCCTTCCCTTCCCTCCATCACTCTGATCGCAGAGCATCCTGCCAGCACATCTCACACACACACACACACACACACACACACACACGGGACCCTCACCCCAGAAGATGGGAGTCGCTGGCCGTGAGACGCAGGAATTCAGGCAGCGAATTCAGGCGGGACACCCTCACAGCCACATCCACTGGGCTGGTGATGCGGGCAGAGACACTTGGAGGGTCTTAGCTCCAGATCTTGATGGGGGGAGGGTCCCCCCGCCCAGCCCCTGCCTCCAGGCAGATGAGTCGCGGCCCCCTTCGGCACACCGAGAGGTCAGGCTGTGCCCAGGGTCACCCAGACGTGGCGGCGTTTGACAGGAAGTAGGGTCCCCCTTGTAGGTGGGAGGGGATTAACCAAGTTAACGTCTGCGGAGCAGGGAGTACCATGTGCTCATATGTGCCGACTTTATTTTCATGTCACAGCTGTCCCTCGATGTCCTGTCTCACAGCTGCCTCCTGCCCGCCTAGAGCCCTCCAGACCCAGGCACTCAGGACCCCAAACACACGCCGGGTCCCCCGACTGGGTCGCAGGCGCCCCTGACAGTCTGGGCTCCGGGCTGCAGCCCCTGAACCATATATTGAGGGTGACTGGCAGCTGTCACTCTGCCAGAACGGGACCCAGGGAAGCGGGCACTGGGGAGAGGTGTGGGTGGGGTGGGAAGGCAGCAGATAGGAGAGGAGCCCCCCTTTCTCGGGGCCATGGAGGAGGTGGGGAAGGGGGCACTGGGAAGATGTAAGTTAGTGAAGGTTCCAATCAATTATTTATCAGTTCATTGATCTCCGGAGGCTGCTGACAGCGCCCTCGCCCTCACCCTCGCCCCCCCACACTCTCCCCCCCGCCCCGGCTCTCCACCCTCCTGCTCTCCCGGGCTCCCTGCCCTGCCTCCCCCCATCCTGGTCCTCGACACCCTGGAGCCCGGGTGCCCCTCTACCCCTGCACGAGGCACGAGGCTCCTGCCTCTCTGGCCCCTCTCCTCCCTCATCCTGAGCCCACCCTTTCTCCCTCACAGCCCAGCTGGGAGCCAGGGACGTGGTCTGCGCATTGGCCGACTGGGTAATGGGGTTTCCCGGCTACTTGGGGGCAATGAGGCAGGACTCGCCAGCGAGGGGCGGGCCCCGTGAATGTGAGCGCGCGTGCACGTGCGTGTTTCCCTCCTCTTGTCAGGAGTGTGAACACTGCCCCGGCTTCTGCAGAGGGAGGGAGCAGACCTGGGGCCGTCATACGGAGGAGGAGGAGGACAAGACCTGCTCATTCGATGCCAAGGGTCCCCCAGGAGTGAGGGGTGTCGGCGCCATGACGGCAGAGGCTGACACCAGGTGGCTGGGGGGCAGGGCGGAGCTGGGCCCGGACTGAGACCTGGGGCCTCAGGCCTCCAGCTGGAAGGGAGATGGGCAGGCAGACGGTGCGCAGGGGCCAGGGCTGTCCAAGGCAGAACACCCAAGTCTTCTGCTCAATCTCCATTGCTCTCATGTGGCCAGTCCCCCGCACTCTAACAGGTGGTTCAACATCTGGCTAGTTGAATTTGCTCTCCCACTGGACATCAGACCCCCCACAAGGGCAAGGGCTACCCACTGGAGCCCCGAGCCTGGGCCCCCCAGCCTCCCGATAAATAGTTTGGGGTGAATAAACAGTAACCAGCTGAAGGAAGGGCAGAGAGCAAGCCGGTGTGCTCGCTGGAAGGAGCACCTGTCCCGGGGGGAAGGTGGGCAGGATACAGACACTTAAACATGCGGAGGTCAAAACATGCGGAGGCCGATGGGGGCCGCACATGAGGTCCTAGCCTCCGTAGGGCGTCAGGAAAGCAGTGACAAGTCTCAGCCTGTCCACGTCTGGGCAAGGTCCTTCCACTCTGGGGGCTACTCCAGCAAGAGGAGGCACCTGTCCTTTAGGTGGTGGGGAAACTCTTTCCTGGGGACACCCTCAGAAGGCCATTGGGTGCCTCAACTAGTCAGAGTGGCTGCTGTGAGCCTGCCCTCAGGTGTGTCTATAGTGAGGGACAGCGAGTGGGGAAAGCCACCACCTGTTGCACCCCTGACACCACAAGGGACCCCAGTCCCTTTCCTCCAGGGCTGTTCTTTATGCCCAGTATCAGTGGTTCTGGCTCTTTGCTGGAGGAGGTCTAGGGTGGGGCTGAGAATCTGTGATGCTGACCAGTTCCCAGGGGTGCCGATGCTGTGGGTCCTGGCTCCCCATTTGGAGATCCACTGTCCTGGGGCATTGTTGGGCCCGACCAAGGGTCAGGGCTTCTAAGAGCCCCGGAGTGGTTGGGGTCAGGGTCAAGGAGCATTTTCCCAGCAGGCCTTCCAGAGGACGGGGGGGATCTTTGGGACATCTCAGCGATCCTCAAGACAGAGGCCAGAACCCTGGGTGCCCCACTGACAGCACCTCACCAGGGGCCACCGTGGGGGCCAAGTTGTGCCAGGCTCCCTGTCTGCATGGTCCACTCCAGCTGTCTTCCCTGCAGGCTGTGAATCGTGTTCCCTCACACCTGCTTTACTGATGAGAAAACTGAAGCTTAGAAGTCCTCCTAAGGCAGGAGGAGGCGGGTGTGGCTGTAGCGGGTTGCCGGGTGGGGCGTCGTGGTGCTGATAGGATGCTCTGTGTCTGGACTGGACCCACGTCAGTCTCCTGGTGCAAAGGCTTCACAAGACGTCACCGCTGGGGACACTAGGTAGAGGGTACCCGGGATCACGCCCAGATATTTCTTACAGCTGTGTGTGAGTCCACAGTTATCTCAAAATATTTCATTTTTTTTAATTAGGTGGATTAAAAAGACAACAACAATGCTTTGCTGTACTCGGGCCTGACAAGTTCACACAAGGGTGTCTCACCCCAGACCTGGGCACCCCTGCAGCCCAGCGGTACCCCCTCCAGCTCTGAGCTGGTGCTCCAGGCTGAGGGTGCCCCCTCCTAGAGGGTCTGGAAAATGCTGCTGAAAGTACAGCGTCAAGACCACAGGGGCTTCTGGGGAGGGGGCAGTGTTGGGCCACAGCAGGGGTCTAACCAGCTTCGCACTCTCCCTCCGCAGGGCAATCAGGACGCCACGGCTCCACCTGAAGCGATGGCCCAGCCCTACCCCCCAGCCCAGTACCCACCTCCGCCACAGAACGGCATCCCTGCCGAGTACGCCCCGCCCCCACCGCACCCCACGCCGGACTACTCGGGCCAGACCCCAGTCCCCCCGGAGCACGGCATGACCCTGTACACACCAGCACAGACCCACCCGGAGCAACCGAGCAGTGAGACCAGCACACAGCCCATTGCAGGGGCCCAGACAGTGCCGGTAAGGGCCCCCCAGCCTCAGAACTTCAGGGGGAGCGCCCGAGGGGAAGGGACCAGGGGCCTGTGTGTGGAGAGGCAGCCCCGTAGTGGGGGCACCCCCACCCCTGGAAGGAGCTCCCAGCCTCCGAGCTCTTGACCATCCAACACCAAGGATCTTTCTGGTGAGCACCCCCACCCCTCGCCTCCCCAGGCCGCAACTTCAGGCCAACTCTTGCCGCGTCTGGGAGGTGGAGCGTGTCCTCGGCCGTCAGCGACCTGTTAATGGGAAGTGAGAGAAATGGCGAGGCCGCGGCCTGGGCTCGCCTGGTGTCACGGGGCGGGGGCGGGGGGCTGGCGGCAGTGAGGAGAGGCCCAGGCCCTGGAGCTGTCTCGAGTTGCAGGCATTCCTATCACTTCTAATCACTTGTAATCTACCTGCTTGGCTGCCCTCCAATCAGATAGCTTCAATTATGTGGTGGTAATGCAGCTCCAAGCAGAATGTGCTGAGCCCGGCACTTCTCCGTGATTTCCTGATACCAAAGGCTCACGTCCAGGAGTGGTCGCCGCCCCAGCCCGACCTGGGGAAAGGTGGCCCCCCTGGAGACCGGGCTGCTGCATCCCCCTCCCCGACCCCTCTGTCGCGTTCTCTGTGGGCCTACTCCCGGCTGAGCTCTGGGGCTACGGGCTTTTCCAGCCAGCCACACTGGCTCCATCCCAGCGCTGGCTGGCGGGCACGAGGCAGGAGGCCAGCACACCCTGCACCGCCCAGGAGCGGCACCACCCCAGTGGCCTTCCGATGGGTGCCACCCTCCGTGTGCCCCCTCGGCCCCCTAATCCAGCCTGGGTCCCAGATATTGCATGGATCCCCATCTCACCTCCCCTCGCCATGTGGGCAGGATCATCCAAACTCTCTGGAGAGGGAGCCCACCCAAGCTGCCCCCTGGGGTTGGACCAGACCCTCGTCTGGGGCCCAGCCAGTGCCTTTCTGCCTGCTCGGAGCGCTGCCCAGCCTGAGTCTGTGCCAAGCCATCAGATTTTCAATTCCCCCGGCGTTCCTGGTGCGAGGTGTCTGCCGTAGACACCCCCAGGGTTCCACCGACGGGAAAGGCAAGGCCACGGGCCTTAGAACTTCTGGATGCTGCCACTTCTGCTACCTCTCATTTCTCAAATCACAATCCGTGTGTGCTCAGAAAAGAGAGAGGGGAAGGCGGGAGCCGGGGGCCTCACTGTGAACGGGCCGCCACCAGCCGGCCGGTCTCTTTGGGATGGACAACGGCAGACGGGGTATGTCTGGACAAACCTGCCACCTCCCTGTGAACAACAACTGAGCCCCAGGGGTTCGCCCTGAACGCAGACCCAGCAGATGAGCAGACTCGCGGTCAACGCCGAGGCCAACAGCCGACACCCCCGCGGCAGGAACGGAGGCCTCCCATGGCAAACACAAAGGCGGGGGCCTGCTTGCGCCGCGCGG